GCAATGGCAGTGGCGCACGCCTTTAATCCCAGCACTCGGGAGGCAGAGGCAGGCGGATCTCTGTGAGTTTGAGGTCAGCCTGGTCTACAGAGCGAGATCCAGGACAGGCACCAAAACTACACAGAGAAACCCTGTCTTAAAGAAAAAATAAAAACACCCAAATAATGAAGATTGTTGCCCTAATCCAGGAGTCTCAGCATGAGGAGAAGTAGCCCAGGTCCCTCACTGTTTCACAAGATTATACTGTTTGACCCTGATAGCTGACCCAGAATGTTTGCAAGACGCGAGCAAAGCCTGTTTATCCAAATACCTACTGGGCTTGACTCCCCTGTTTCCTATAGTTAAACCCACTCTAAAACAATGCCTACGCACAGTCCTGTGAAGGCTGTAGGTTTCCAGTCAGCTGTCTGTGATCGAAATGGACATCGTTAGATGTTCGTCAGCCAGGCTGGTGCCATGAGGAAGTTTTATCTCAGAAGTCTCCAACCTTCCACCAGGACTTTGAAAACCTGATCTGTGAAACAATGGCAGAGAAACACCTCGTGGGGACCCAGTTTATACTAGTGCTTCTCAGCCCTCCCGTGCCCCACTGCAGAGGGCAGAATTCTAGAGACATGAATCACAGGTTGTACAATCAAATTCTCACGCGAGTCTTCACTGTTACAAATCTTGGGAACCAATTTATTGCTGTGGGATAATGCTTTTGTACACTGGAGTAAACACTGATTAATAACAATTTTAATAAAATGCTGATTGGCCAGTAGCCAGGCAGGATAAACAGACAAGGAGAATTCTGGGAAGAGAAAGGCTGAGTCAGGAGATTCCAGTCCACAGTCCAGGAAGCAGCATGTAACGCCACACAGGTAAAGCCACAGAATACATGGAGACATAGATTAACAGAAATGAGCTGAGTTTAAGTATAAGAACTAGTCAGTCGTAAGCCTGAGCTAATGGCCAAGCAGTTTTAATTAACATAAGCCTCTGTGTGTTTACTTGGTTCTGAGCAGCTGAGGACCAGGTGGGACACAGGAAAACTTTCAGCTACAATTTATATAGTGACTTCCATCAAAAAGAAGCCAACTGCTTTGCATTGAGAGTGTAGGAATGGCACCTTGAGGTTTCCTCAGGAATTAGGCAGTCTCCACCTTGGAAGGCTCAAGGACATGAAAGAGCAAACACGTATGAGCTCAGGTCTCTTAGGATTCATTTCATCCCATTCTGTCACCAGGAAGCTCAGAAGCTGCTGTAGCCATGCCTGGAGACCATCCTGCTACCTCTCAAGCTTGAGGCAGACCATGGTGCTGTCTGCACAGTCCTGTTTTGACAGACATGAATAGCGTAAGAATTGCAAGGACCTGCAGGCTTCCACCTGGGTTTCAAAGAAGGCTTGGGAGCCCAGCGAGCATGTGGCAGAGTTAGATTCCCTGCAGGAAGCCTGTGGGAGAGTACTGCATGAGCTGTGAATGTGAAACTTAACCTTTAGTGTAGATCCCAAGATTTGGGCGGTACCGGGACACAGAACACGTAGATGAGGGAAGTCCTGGCCAATGAGTGGAACCAGCCCAGGACAAAGGCTTCAAATGACAAACATTAGGGAAAGAACTTCCTAAGGGTTCTGGAGCTCACGTCACAACTCCACACATTCCGGATGCTGAACACAGATCTGCTGGGTTTGGGGCATCCTTTGTCTCTGTCTCACCACCACCACCAGCACCCCCCATTACAAAGGCATCATTAGTCTGTGCCTTTGTACTTTGGAAATACAGGAGTTTTATTCTTTTTCTATTTTTTTAAAATTTTATTTTATATGACTCACAGTAAAGAGATTCCCATGTGTCTCACAGGGGATTTGAATTTTTGAACAGTGGTGGAACTGTTCAGATTATGGGAACCTGATGGGTGATATTGTTCTGTATGCTGTGAATATGTGATGCTTTGATTGGTTGATAAATAAAGCTGTTTGGCCAATGGTGAGGCAGAATCAGGTTAGGTGGGACATTCTAACTAGATTGAGAGTAAGGAGAGAGACAGAGCAGAGGAGATGCTGCTAGCTGCCGCCAGGAAAAGCAAGATGTAAAGGTACTGGTAAGCCACAAGACACATGGCAAAGTATAGATTTGTAGAAATGGGTTAATTTAAGATGTAAGAGCTAGCGAGCAAGAAGCCTGCCACGGCCATAGTTTAAAAATAATATAAGCCTGTGTGTGTTTATTTGTGTCCAAGAGGCTGTCGGACTGCGGGTTGCCTGAGCCAGGTGGGACCGGAGAAAACTTACAGCTAGGGGATTCTTGAAGATGGACGCAAAGCAGTTTTTTATTACGGGATGGCCCAGCGTAGAATAGTGTTGCTTGGATGTGAGAGGGGTCTTCTCCGGCTTGTGTGTTCCATGTTTAATTGCTATTTATGATGCTGAATGTGGAGGTTCTGGACGCCTGAGGAGAGAAGGCACAGTGGGAAGACGTGGGTCACCGAGGGCACAGCTTGGAGAGTTGTGCCTGGTGCCAATCCCTCTTCGTGCTCTGGTTGCTGTCTGCCATGAGTCGAAGAGCCTCTTCCTCTGGCGCACACCTCTGTCATGGTCTGCTGATCGTATGGTACAAGCAAATATGCCCTGAATGAACCCTGGGAAGGTAAGCACCCAAAAAGTCCCCATCCCTTTAAATCCTCATCCCTTTAAGTACTCACTCCTTTAAGTCCCCATCCTTTTAAGTCCCTACCCCTATAAATCTCCATCCCTTTAAGTTCTCACCCCTTTAAGTCTTCACCCCTTAAGTCCCCACCCCTTTAAGTCCTCATCCCTTTAAGTACCCACCCCTTTAAGTACCCACCCCTACAAGTCCCCATCCCTTTAAGGCTCTATCCCTTTAAGTCATCACACCTTTAATTCCCCACCCCTTTAAGTCCCCATCCCTTTAAGTCCTCACCCCTTTAGGTCCCCACCCCTTTAAGTCCTCATCCCTTTAAGGCTCTATCCCTTTAAGTCATCACACCTTTAATTCCCCACCCCTTTAAGTCCCCAACCCTTTAAGTCCCCACCCCTTTAAGTCCCCAACCCTTTAAGTCCCCACCCCTTTAAGTCCTCATCCCTTTAAGTTACTCTTTTCCTCAGGTATTTCTCATGGAGACACAAAATTAACTAACATAGGCCCCTAAGTCTATGCTACAGAAGCTAGCCCTCACTAAAAACACCCCAGCCCTTCCAGACCCTCAAATACAGCGTTAATTCCATTCAATCCTAAATAGGAGCAAGGTGATACACTCCTCCCCTGATGTGTGGCCGGAAGGTAAAGTGAGCCCTGTCTGGAGGAATAATTCTAACAGCAAGATCTTCGAACTACATCCAAGAAGTGTTCGTTCACAATCCGGCATTGAGGAAATAATTATTAGCAGGAACTTACGAAAAGGAAATAGGCCAATTGAAAAATCAAAGAGAGGACTAAAAGCATTCTGCATCTAAACTCACAGGCGAGCATGTCAAACGCGGGCTGGAAACTAACTATGATCAATAAGCTTGAGAAAATAGATTACAGAGAAGGCAGTTTCGGCACATGACTGCAGTTTATTAAGAGATTAAAGCGGGTGACTTTACATCTTAAAATTCTAAGGTGGGAGCTGGAGACCCGGACGGCTCAGGGGCTCAAAGTCCTGAGTTTGGTTCCCGGCACCTGTGTCACGCAATTCACAACCCCGATAACTCTAGCTCCAGGAGACACACACACACACACACACACACACACACACACACACACACACACACACACGGTGTGTGTGTATAAAGATGAAATTTATTTAAAAACCAAACAGGTTTAAGAATAGATTCAACTCACTAAGCCTTTAAAGAGTTCTGCAGTACAGGCAGGGTGTAAATTTGTTGCCTTTTTCCTTTAGTCTCTGAATAGCTGGGATTTCAGGTCTCTGTCTCCACATCCAGTTTGGGTATTCTTAAGATGGGAGATGAAATTTGAAGACTCAGGCCTGAATAAGAGTGATGGAAATGGTAGATACAAAGCAATATAAGAAAATCAAATAGATAATCTGTTTTTAGAATAATGTTTCATGGATCATGGAATTTAAAACATTAAATGAAATGTAGGACAATAATAGCCCCAAGTATGGGGTATGTGAATTAATACTTGTAGGTTTGTGCAAAGAACCAATTTAGATTTGATTTTGATAAGTTAAATATTCTTTTAATAAGTCCTAGGTAATAGCTGACAAACTAGCAGAACAATAGTTTACTAGCATCAGTAAAGGAAAATGCAGGATTTATCACACAATTTATAAGCAAAAAAGGAAAAGTAAATAAGGGGGATAAAAGGAATATTTTTGTTGCAAGAAGAAACCAAGTGACATCAGTCATCATGAAAAATGAAAGTAGACATTCCAATTAAACCATAATGATCGTCATAAGACACTGCAATTAAACCACAGGGACAGTCGGTCATACTGGAGGCAGAAATGCAAGGGTGGTGGAGTGCGATGCATAGGATGAACAAGCAAAGGAAGGATGAATGGAGTTTGTATAATGTGCAAGATTCAGTCTACTTGAAACATATAATTCTATCATGGAGGACTTTGATGGGGGATCACTAATTCACAGAAAATGAAGACAAATTGAGAAGTCAGTGAGGCATGGGATATTTAATAGGACTAAAAATTATATTGCCTTTTTTATAATATAAAAATATTTTTCCTTTTTTCAGGTATATTGATAATATTCACCATTTGCTGAGTTATGAGACGAGTCACAAATTAGAGATTCAAGTCACCCAATGATGTTTTCTAACTGTGGTAGAATTAAAGTAGAAATTTAAAGATACCTAGGAAAGCTAAATGTATGGTGCTAATTAATCCCTGGCCAAGTCAAAGTCCTGCTGGAAATGAGATACTCGAAACTGAGTGATGATGCATGTGATGCCCACCTGCCTGCCTTTGGTCTACTGGCTCTGCTCCTCTTGCTGACCTGAAAAGTCTTAAGTTTGGGGAAAGGCAGTCCAGCTTGCTCGGAGAAGCAGACTTGCTGGAAGACAGGCTCACAGAGTGGAGGGGGGTGAACAGGGAGCTGCTTGGGGTCCCTGGGGTCTGCAGACTTGGGAAGTGCATCCCCAGGGCATTTTCACCAAGAGGATTCCTCCTTGTTCTCTCTCTCTCTCTCTCTCTCTCTCTCTCTCTCTCTCTCTCTCTCTCTCTCTCTCTCTCTCTCTCTCTCTCTCTCTTTCTCGCTCTCTCTCTCTGAAAAGGGAGACATTGGAAGAGTGCTTGGAGCCATAGACACACACTATATTGTGAGGGGAAAGGCCAGAGGTCATTGTTCAAAAGCTGTCTAAAAATTAGCAGGCGAGTAGCAAATCGGATCAGAAGATGTAAGAAAGGCAGGGCAGAAACTGATGAAATGGAAAAGAAACCTTCAAAGGAAGAGAATTAGCAAATGTAAATAGACAAATAGAATGAATAACCCCAGGAAAATGAACAGGAATCAGAAGGACAAGGGATGCATTACCGCTGTAAACACAGACGGCCACCGAAGAGACAGCAATGCTTTGGGAACTTTTTAAATGACCGAACTTATCAAGTGGGATACAATGGATAAATTCCTAGGAAAACATAAGAGGACACAAACAACTAACTAATTGTAGTAGGCTAGATAATTTTAAACAGCAAACTCATGATATAAACCTGCCCACAAAAGCATCCAGGCTGAGGTGATTTCACTGACGTTATTCCAAACAGTTAAGAAGAATGGACACTAATCGAATAAAGTTTTCCAGAAAAGGACCAGAAGACAACTAACTTCATGGAACATCAGGCTTTGGTACCCAGAAATGGTGTTCATACATGATGTCATCTTAAGTTAAATATAATGTATGTAGGCTTCTGCCTATCACATCACTATTGTCTTAGCATGAGAAAATTACCAATGCAATTCAACACATTGATAAAAAAAAATCAAGTAATCATATTGATAGATGTTGGAAAACATTTGATAAAATTCAGTATCAAGTCACTACTTAATAAATTCATAGAAATCTATCAATAGGGGTGGGAAGATCACTTGGTGTGTAAAGAACTTGAATTCAGACCCTGGGAACTCTTGTGAAGGCCAGACACAACAGTGCTCATCCTTCATGCCAGCTCTGGGAGGCAGAGGCAGGAGGGTATCTTGGGCCAGCTGGAGAAGGAAGAGCAATTTGGTCCTCATGCACTGCTGGGTGTCGAGAGGTATAGAGACATAGTCATAGAACAACATGGCATAAGGACACACAAATCAGACTCAGGGACAGCTCAGTTGGTCAGTGGCTTGCTGAATGCACATGGGGACTTACATTTGGATTCCCAGAAGCCACACATAAAAGCCAAGTATGGTAGCCTGCACCTGTGAGATCCCAGCGCTGGGCGAGAGGGGAGACAGATGGATCCTAGTGCTCCCTGGCCAGGAGTGTAGCTGAGTGAGTGAGGTTCAGCTTCAGTGAAAGAGTGTGTCTCAAAACATAAGGTGGGAGTAATAAGAGAAGATCCTAGATGTCAACCTCTAACCTGCACAGGCACACACACACACACACACACACACACACACACACACACACACAGAGGAACTCAAGCATGTGCACATATCATACATATAAACATGTGTGCATGCATGCAAGAACTCATACATATGCAACACACACATGAATACACAAACCAACCGAATGAAATAGAGTACAAATAGAGATTTCCTATGTGCACGCGCGCACACACACACACACACACACACACACACACACGTACTTGATATATGACAGAAGGAAAACACAGAAAAAAATGGAGAGAAAGTCTTTGGATGAGACTTTGTTTTTTCAGGGGGGAAGGGGAAGAGGTTGAGCTGTTTTGCACCTTACTAAAAAAAAATAATTATTAAAATTCATTATGGGACTCAATGTGAAAGTGTGAAAGGATTACATCTTTTTTTGTTTGTTTGTTTTTTGTTTTTTGTTTTCTGAGACAGGGTTTCTTTGTGTAGTTTTGGTGCCTGTCCTGAATCTCGCTCTGTAGACCAGGTTGGCCTCGAACTCACAGAGATCTGCCTGACTCTGCCTCCCGAGTGCTGGGATTAAAGGCGTGCGCCACCTAATTTTATGTTACTAAGGCAGGCAAAAGTTTCTGAAATCAAATACAAAACCACTAAGGATAACAGACTTGACTGTTGACCTCGGGTATAGGTGTTAAATCAGGAAATGTTCATCAGGGGCACTGTTCATGCTTCGAAAATGCAAACCACAGGATGAGAGATGGAGAGGTATTTAAATACATGCAATCAACAGAGACTTGTGTCCAGGCTTATAGATCAGGTTTTTAAAAGACAGATAAAGCAGTCTAAGGGTAGGTAGAACAATTATGTATATAATTGTGTGTGTGTGTGTGTGTGTGTGTGTGTGTGTGTGTGTGTGTGTGTGTGTGTGTGTACTAAGCAGATGACAAACGGGAAGCTCGAGGCCACCTGGGGATGACAAATGAGAATTACAAGCTGATATCATTGTAAACTAACTGGAATGACATCAGCTGTGGGTGAGGATGTGGAGAAACTGGAACTTTTAGCAATGGATGGTGGGAGTTACCCGTTGCAGCCACATGGGACAGGTTTGGGTGACCTATGACCCAACAATTCCATCCCTAGATATGTGCCCAATGCATGCTCACATATGGGGGTTTAGAGAGACGTGTCAGTGTTTAAGAGAGCTTGCTGCTCTTTAAGGGGTTTGGTTCCCAGCATCCATGCTGTGTGCTCACAGCCACCTAATAAACTTCAGCTCCAAGGGATCTGATACCCTCTTCTGGCCTCTGTGAGTACTGCTTGAACATGCTCATGTGTCACACACACACACACACACACACACACACACACACACACACACACACACACACACACACACACACACACACACACACACA